GCACCATTTCTAATTACTTAAGTTTATCCATAACATCAATTTGTAGAATGAGTGGCTTGAAGAAGCTTGAAAACAAACATGGCCTCATTTATTGAAGCTGAATGCCCGAAACTCCTGCTCAGTCTCATAAGGACTGAAGGTGCTGGGCAGGGGGTATTCGGCACTTTGGAGGACAGAAGTCTGTAACAGGTTAATTATTGTGGTATTCTGGCAGGAGGGATTTGAAGAAAATTGCCCTTAAATGTATGACTCATTTTCTCCTGGGTTCTAGGAAATACTCCTTTTGACAGATTAAAAAGGATTAAGGTGCGGCGGAATCACTAAAAAAAAGAGAAAAATGGGCTAAGGGGAACCCTTGCTGAAGAGGGATCAGGTTTGGTGGCTGTAATCTAGGGAGTGATTAGCTGTCAGTGTCACGCACAGCAAAGTTCAGCTGCTGGCACCTGGCAGAGGCAAAACAGCAGGAACTGCAGCTGCTCTGGTTAAATAAATGTACTCAGAGAACTTCAGTGACCAGCCTGAGCGGTACCGATTAGTAACACCACAATCTATATTGATAAGAAATGCTACTGAGAAATTGGTTGACTCTGTGCTCTTTTAAACTTCAGATAATCTTTAAGCTACATCTTGAAGTTGTGACTCTGGCTTTTATGAATGATAAAAGAGATGGAGCATCTAATTAGGGGTTGCAGGACTTGACTTCCGATTATTGAGGTGACCGTATCTAATATGTATCTATTATGCATAATGGTCCCCTGAAGGCAAACACACTCAGAGGAAGAGAACATGGAATAAGAGTGTATGAAAGTCAAGATAATATTGAGTTAAAAATGAGGATTCACCGCCCTCCCTGATTTTACCTTAAAAGTGGACCCATAAAATTTCCCAATGAAACTTCTTTCTCTTGAAAAAAAAACCACCACTTAGTAAGACTTTATCTGACTGAAAATCCAACTGGAAAATACATTAGAACTATTTAAATATTTCTAAATTTTTTTGAGAGTTTAAAACTTTTTAACCCTTATTCAGTACCAAACTAAATTTTAAATTCCATCTGGGGAATAGCAACATCATGTTTTAGCCTGTTCTACTCAAACTAGTGCTAAACAGATAAAATAGGGACTTGCAATTTCCTCACCCTGTAAAGGTGTTGGTCATTCAGTAGATATATATTCCTGATCACAGCTTTTTCCTCAAAAACAAAGACTGTAATTAAAAAAAAACAACAAAAAACACACCAAAACCCAACACTGAGGCAGATCTATAAAGTGGATTAGAGTATGGAGAAAATGACCTTCTGAAGTTAAAGGAGAAGCTGAAATAGCCGATAATTGAAATGTCATAGAAAGAACTGAGCTGGTAAGAAAAAGCAAATATTTAAAGATGAGAAATATTTAACAAGTGACTGGATTAATTTCTCTGCCAAGTTCATCAGAAGCAAATATATTTCTATTTGATGTCAGGGACATCAGGTAGAATCTGACTAACCTTATGGGTATAAAACAACCTTGGGGGCCTCTTTAGCCCAGAATAGCTTTAATGCAGAAGTCCTGTCAGTAAACATATATTTTTCAGTGAGGTAGATCCACCTTGGTGTTGAAGACAAACAGTTGCACTTGACAAAAGAAAGTTATAATTGCTGTACAAATAACTGCTCATTCTTCCATCTTTCTGCTTGCTCTGAAGGAGCTGCTTTTCCTACCCGAATCCAGCTCTTCTCTTTCAAGCTAAGTATGAGATACTCCTGTCACTTGACATAAACAAAATTTATGGCCCTTCAGGGAGCTGTTCTGAGTTTTGCTCTTCGCCTTCGTTGGTTTCTCGCCATCTCTCCTCCGTGGAAATAACGTCCTGATTAAGCCAACAATCACAAATGAAAATTAGATTTTGATTTCAGGTGATTCCTTGTCTGTTTTCTTCATCTCCAGCCTGATTGCCCAGGCTTAGCAAAGGTGTGTACTCTCATGTTTTCAGTCTGCTTATTCAAACTGCAACATCGCTTCAACTGTGAACAGCCTCATAATGAAAAGGCTGGGTCTTGGAGGGACACAGTTTCATTTAAAAACAAGGCTTGGAGCAGGTGGGTCTTGGAGGGTTTCATTTAAAAACAAGGCTTGGAGCAGGTCTCCAGACAGAGTCTGCCCATGCAATGCTTTGAAATGATTAAGAACTCCTCTTCCTCCTAACTCTTCCTAATGACAGAGTGGGAACAAAGCTGCTCGGTGGAAAGCAGCCAGTGCCCCAGTGAAGATGGATGGCTGGTGCCTGCTCAGTGCCCGGTACCTCCCTCCTCATTCCCTGGGAGCAGCCGGGATCCCAGGGAGCTGGGTCAGTGGAAGGAGGGCTGCACCCCTCCTTAGTGACCAAATCACTGCTCGGCCACTCCGGGAGGACTGCTGCTGCCATCGGTGTATGGCACCACCTGTGCTGGCTCCAGTGCACTGGGGCAAGGGAAAGTCACAATTGTTATTATCTTAACTAATATCTGAAAGGTTCAACTTCAGTGCCTCTTTCATTGGACTGGCTTGTGGAATTAATTTCTACGTTAAATACTGCAAAACCGTAGCCATATATTTCAGCTCAATCTGAATTTTATCTTTGTCTGTACTACTTTTAAGAAGAAATAGAAACATAATAATGAGATTATTTAACATGGCAGAGTATATAAACATAATGAGATTATTTAACATGGCAGAGTATAAGCACCCCTAATAATACTAATGACAACGTCTGTTCCATTATGTTAAATGAAAAAGATGATTTGTATATGTTTACGGTAGCCCGTGATTTAATTTACACACAACTGAATTGGTTAAATTTACAATTTAAACAGCAGGTCATCTGTATGTACATCCTGTATTTGGACAGTTCCCATATTATTCTTATATTGATAAAATTAATGTATAAAAGGAATATATAAGGCCCAGCCTAAGCTTGTTCATTGAGCACTCAACACATAACATTCTAGTGACTGGGAGGGGAAAAAAATTAAACAATTTGCATACTTCAGTACTGTAGCAAATAACCGCATTGACAAGGTCACCATGCTAAATCAACATCATCCACACCTCATCCAACTTCTAAAAATCCTCCAATATTTGCATAGTGTGCCTGTAGAAACCTCTCACCTGTTTAATAAGCCATTTATTTTTTTTAATTAAGAATTCAGTACGCTTTTAATTTACACGGGGAAAAAAGCTTGAGTGCTCTGTTTTGTTTGTGGTAACGTGGCTATCTCTATAAAACACTATTTCTTTCTCTACTACATACATAATTCCAAAGGTAACTCTCATTGAATCAGATAACTAGCAATTTCTTTTGTAATCAGAACCTAATTAGGTTGTTGTTTACAGTATAAGTGATCAATAGCTTTTATTCTGGATCACACAGTGTCAAAGCTCTAATAATTGATATTAAATGTAATAGAGATACTGTAATCAAACCAAATGTAAAAAAATCTTCAAAAAGTATGTACTATACTGGGAGGTTATTAAAATTCCTGATACTGCTTAAAATGTTTAATGTGCTGAATACAAATGATATTTTAAAGAAAGCTTTGTGGATCAAAGATAGATTTAATAATTGTAATGTTTATGAATTTGTTTTGAAAATATTTTTAATTGGATAATGTCAGAGTTTTGAATTATAATGCTATTTCATTAGCATTTCAATAGGTTATACTATCAACTCCTTTTCACAAAAAAAGAATTTGATTTATTTTTTAAATCATGAATCTCGTAAGGTTCTTTCTGTTGTCACTAGTTTTCAATAATTTGATTAGCTTCTAGAAGAAGAGCAACAGGAACCACATGGGCTTTGCTGGTAATGATGAGCTACATATTTCTTCTCTGAAAGCAGCTCTGATGCCTTTGAAAGTAATTTGCAGTTTCTTATCAGCACAGAATTAAAGAGTAATATTGTCTAATTTGTTATATTCAGTGGCACAGAATATCCTAGAATTCTATCACATACACAGTGCTTTGAAACCTATATTATGTGACCATAATCAAGAGTACGTAAGTGAATTTTAGAATTGATGAAAGTGTTTATTAGTAGCTAAGAAATGCTCAGAAGATGAACTTGTCAATAGTTTAATATTCTCTTAGTAAGATGTGCATTTTGCACACTCCCAAACAGTTTATAAAACAGTAATTTGTACTTTATAGTTGTATTGCAAATAACTGATCTGGACGTTTCAGAGGAGGCCAGGGAGTAACTATGCAAGTCTCAACGTAAATCTGTAAATTCAACATGATGAACTCCTTGCTTGGTGAAGTTATCTTGTACTTTCAGTAGAAACTAAAACTGATTACTGTTGATCATTTAGACATAACTGCTTGTAACAGTCAACAAGCCATCACAGTAAGGTATAAAGACAGCCCTTAGGAGAAATGCTGCCTATTAGATGACATTTAAAGCTTTAAAGAATTCCTTCTAGATACCGCAGAAAATCATCGTGAGCCAGCGCAGGCTGTCAATGTCACTGAATGAAAACCAAAGCCATCAAATCACGTGTACTGGCAATATTGCCATCCAAACCATTAAAACAATTTGTGGAACTGGTCTTGCAAACAGCTCATCATGTCAGCAATGCCGAGGTCTGCAGCAGGAACTACCACAGTAAGAGAAGCCTGACACGTAGGTGAGTGTGTGGCGCTGCCTTGTCATTGGATTAACCACCCTTTTATGTTGATTTTAGCAGTCTTAGAAATAAAACACAGTTTAAATGATATCCTACTAACTCTCTTCTCTCTACGATGTGGGTGAGAGAAGCCTGACCACGTAGGTGAGTGTGTGGCGCTGCCTTGTCATTGGATTAACCACCCTTTTATGTTGATTTTAGCAGTCTTAGAAATAAAACACAGTTTAAATGATATCCTACTAACTCTCTTCTCTCTACGATGTTGTGATAATTGAACTAAAGCATGAAGTTCCTGTGGCTTTTTGAGCTGACATTATCACCTATGTATGAACAGATAATGCTGTTTTAGTAGAGCAAATTAATTGTATGCAATTTTTTATTAAACAAACAGTATAATAACTGGACTATATTATCACAATGGAAGCATAGAAGACCATAGACTGTACAGCTGAAACCCTGTAGCAAAATTTGTTTCTACCGCTTATCCTCAAATTTAAAGAAATGTATCTTTATCAAGCTTTCACAATGGCTGCTCTTTGTTAATTTAAAGAATCTTCACCCTTGTTAAGGCTAGATGATTATAATTAAAAGATAAATGTACTGTTAGAAAGTCCTATGCCACACTCTATAAGAATTTAACTCAAAGACGTACATTATACCTGTATGTGAATTATAATGGCTTCTCAGCAGGGAACGCAGAATCACTTACAGTATGTAAACATTTAAAGAGGAAAATGCTAATACACTGAAAGAGTTTAACATCAGTAGCAATTTATCAAATGAAGAAGTTTCATAAAGTCCACTCTCTGGGAGAACATTCACCATTAGACAAAAGCCTGGCATCCTTGATAGTCTGAAGTTCAACCAATTTGAAAACCAAAACCATTCAATGAGATAAATAGGATCTTAAGAAAACTGCCATCCTCCTTCTCAGGTAAAAGCCAGAATTAAAATAATTATTATTAAAATAATCCAACCAGGTCGCTTTACAGGCAAATTTACACACTGTCTCTTTAAAACACTGCATGCCCAAAAGCCTTTTGGGTTTGGAATGTAGCACTGCACCAAGTATTTCACAAAGCCTCTAAATATCACAAGAAGCTTTTTAGAGAGAGAGAAAAAAAATTCCAGCTGACTGAAACTGTTCTAGCAGGAGTGCCTCAGCTTAGCTCCCAGACCTGGAATTCCAGATAAACAACAGAGGACAGGAAACAGACTTTTTTTTTTTTTTTTTTTTTTACTTTTTGTAAAGCAGCTACAAGACGACTGATGAGCTTAGGAACAAACAGAGTGAGAGTGCAAGTGTCATCAGAGTGAGCGATGTGCTTAGATAGAAGCTTGTAGGAAGAGCCAGTGAGTTCTCCGAAGATATGTGACTGGTGGAGACTCCTGCTGTGTTGTCTTTCCCGATAGCGTTCTGCAAGACACAATACCTTCTTTGGTCACTATTACACATTTTCATTGCAATATATTTAAATATACAGCATGAAATTCATCTTTTGTTTCGGGTCCCACCCTCCGCTGTTACCTATGTATCACTGTCATAGATTGAAAGATACAAAAGGCATAAAAACAGATGCTAAAATGACAGTATTTTAAAGTTAATTTAAAGGATAACTACACCAGTACAGCAGAACTAAAAAAAAAAAAAAAAAAAAAAAAAAAAAAAAAAAAAGAAAAGAAGAAAGTATTAAAAAGTTCCCTTCTTTAGCAGTGGTAAAACCTACTGTTATTAAGTACGGTGATTTTTTTAGTAATCTGTGTTTACCATGCCAGTTTATTTCAAAAAGAAAATGCAGGACCTGCAGTGAAACTGCAACTTCTGCAGAGTCACCAGAACAACTTTGTTTGGTAACAAGTTCCTTCTGGATAACAATAGACAAAATCTAATCCACGGGATCAGAAAAGACAGACATTTCTAGCTTATGAAAAGATTTCTTTCTCAAGCCTCCTTCCCTTAATTGATGCATTATTTAAGTGCCTTGTCTTTTTTGTCTCAATAATTAAGCACTACACGTATGCAAGTACAGGTTGGCAGATTATAGCGAGCTATTTAAGGAGGAGGTCCAACAGAATATTTCTCATTGCTTACCATCTTCAGTTTAAAAAAAAAAAACAAAACAAACATACAGGTGTAATCACAGAACTAGAACAATTTAGACTAGAAGGGACCTCTAAGGTTATTAAGTCCAATCTACTCCATGCATCCATTGCTCAGACCCCATCCACTCAGGATTTGAAAATCTCCAAAGATACAACTTCTACAAAGGGGACAAGCCTCCCTCCAGCCTGGACAGGCAACGGGCCAAGGACAAAGCTAAAAGTACTCAGAGAGCAGATATAAAGAATGAGTAGAGAGCACCAGTTTGCACAGGAATGACTGTTCTACAGAGCCAGGGAAGCATTCATGGATAATGCCTCCCTCATGGGGGGAGCACAGATAATGCTATTCCCCCACTTTGCTATCACCTGCTAGCACTAGTTAATTGGAAGGCCTTGAGATGCAAACCGTTAGAATAGAGACATTGGTGGGATTATCATGATATGCTTTCTTATACTCAACGCTGGGTATTTGCTTTTTGGAAACTGTCACAGACAGAGTATGGGATAAAACAGACCAAGCTACGGCTACTACCGGCTTCTTGTGAAAGGTCTTCTAGCCAGCAGATGATGTCAACAGATCTGTTAACATTACTGCATTTTTCCCCCACAGGTTATTAGGCTTCGTTCTGGTATCTACAGGAAATCCTGAGTAAAACCTAAAGAACTAGGAATGGGCTATAGAACTGTCATTGTTTAGAAGCACTGTGCAAATTCGTACTGGCAAAGGAGAACCTGAAAGATACGGTCACATCCATTTGGTGGCTTATGCCAGTGCAGCTGGTCTTGCTCTGACGCCTTGGCTATGTGCTTACAAATGGTAAAAATTAATTTATGTACCCCTAATTATTAAGCTTCCTGAGAGACTCAGTACAAAGGATATGGACTGGCAGACATGGAAACTGATGTAATGTTTACGTCTGAAAGGGGGCCTTGGAGGTCAGGCTGAGCAGACTGCTCCAACAGCACTGGGAGGTTCATGTCTCTTGGGGCTGTCAATCTGTCCTCTGATGGATGAGCATCACATCTCCTCATGTGAACATCATTTCATGCCCTAAATTGGCCATTTCTGTTAGCCACAGAATGATGTCCAGTATGTTTCTATGAATTTGTTAAAAGCTGTATCAACTTGTGTTCCTGCAGATTATTAACTAATTATATTTGCTAGGTGCAATGGTAATTACCATAGGATTTGTCTAAACATGCACAACAGAGCTATTAAAATACAAAGTCAGCAGAGGCCACTTTGTGTCCAGCTCCAGATTTCTGAGTAAGATCATTCTTTAATGTATAAAAGATTGTATTATGTATTCAACACCTTTTATATTATGGGGAGCCACCTGTACTGTGAAATATACAGGATCCACACTCTTACCTCATTAAGACAGAGCTCTGTGTCTACAGATTCATTGGATTTCCTCTTCTTCTGTGCCTATGAACAAACACAAAATTTATTCCCTGTAAAATTTAAATTTATACACACAGCAACACAAAGCAATTAGATAAATTCACATGGGCTGTCATACTCCTATAATTTTGACCGTGATTTGCACATGATTAGCAAATAAATTCTCCAAATGTAACTGCATGTTTTCCAATAACATTCACGGTCTGATTTGAATTTACAGCAAAACTTCAGTCAGTCAGCTAAGGGTACTTAGTAATTACAATGATGAGTGCCATCAGCTGCAGAGAACATGTCATGTTCTGTGGCCCCTTAAAAATGGTGCTGGATGTTCATGAGAAAAAATGAAATACGACAGTTAATAATTACCAAAATACCACTGCATATTAACAAAAGACCTATCATATTCATCAGTTTTAGGAAAATATACAACACAGGAGTATTTTATCCTTAATGATTCTTGCAATTTCTTCAAGTATTTTATGAAAATACAAATAAAATTCTAATATATTGCATGGCTGCCACACAGTTTCTTCTAGAAAGTTACAAAAAGAACATTTCATATCTTTTAACATATATAGCTGTAAGTCAAATTGAGCTGCTTGTTTACATTGCATTCACTGATTATTATACATGGAATATTATTAAATGCAGAAATATTTTAGATGACCAAAGCCTAAGAAATGAATCTGCTATATCTTCAGCCATGTCTTATGATCATCTGTTGCTGTTACTGTGTGCTCTCCACACTGAGTCAAGTAAGAAACATTTCTGGTGGCAGCATCATCCAAAACGAAAGCAATAGCATGCACTCTGTCTAGCATCATAAGGTGTTTAATATTTCCATTGCTCAAGTGAACATGACTGGGCTGGGAGTTTTCTGCTTTTCTATAATAGCAATAGCAATCCCCACAGTGCTGAAGATATTTTCAGTAAATGGTGCTGTGGTTGATTTAAGTACTTCAGTGATTCTCAATATCATTTATTTCTTTGTATATTCCAGAAATATAAACAGCACTCTTTTAGAGGAGCTACCAGTATTAAACGTACAATCAAGTCTTTTAACAGAAGACCTGGATTTACACACTGAAACTACTGACTGCACCGAGCACGTCTGATACTTCTGGAAGTTTTGTTGGACTTGCAATTTATTTCTTGCACAAATTGAGGATCTGAATCTCACTGTGTTGCGTTCCATTTACACTACAGAATCCCACTGGTTTTGGCAGAGATGGACTGGACTAAAATTGATGCGAGGAAGTGCTGAACATTTTGATTTTATACCCTCAAAAAATTCAGTTCCACATACGGATATTTTATTTTATATCTGAGAGCCATTGGTGCTGCCTGTGGATACAAGATAGCCTTCGACCTAATTACTGATTTTAGACTCCGAATGAAATTGGACTTCTCATTAGGAAGCACATTTTCTGCTTTTCATGATACTTTTATGTTTATAAATAGATATATTAGAGACAACTGAAAAACTAAACCAGCTGGGATTTAAAAGAAAGACAGCTTAACTATAGTAAGAATGCATACTGTATATATGTTGATAGTTTTCAAATATATGACAAAATAATAGCTCAATTCATTAATAAACACCCTCTGCGAAATCTCTCTCTTACATACCCTTCCTTCTAATTAGTACCATTAAAGTGGTTATGGTAAGCATAAATTTAACTATTTAAATGGAAAAAGAAATGCCTGGAAGTAAATTTGCTGCAACAAGAAGGAACACAGTGAAGCCTTCCTGCTGTGTTGGCAGTGCTGGTGGCATTCACAGAAGTTAGGAAACTTCTTTTAATGGCAACTGGGTAGATTTCAATTCCTAAATGGATGGCTGCAAGGAGACGAGTAAAGGAGGAGAAACTGGATTTCAATCCTGATTTTCTTATATCCTAAACACCCATACTTCATTGAATTGGAATATAAGGCTTCATAGGAGGCATCAGGTTCAGAGCTTCAGATTTTGACAGTGTAAGCTCTAAGGATGGTAAAAGCCTCGTATCTCTCAGTTCATCAGTCAGTGCTAAATTTCCTAATTCACGCAAGCATCTGCCTATTGGAAACACTGTGCTTTGCTGCTCACACCTGCTCTGGATTCATAACTCTGTGCTTGCAGTTAACAAGTCTGCTCTTGGTAGTTGGTCTCAACACCAAAGAATTTTTGTTCCTTCTGTACTGTGTTTCTCAAAAGAGAAAAGAGATGCAGTAAAGTCTTTCTTTACTTCATTCAGCCTGATAAGCAACTGAGTGCAGCAGATAAAACATATTTACCTTTAAGAACACTATTTTAAGGGTAAAATCAACAGCTAGAAACAAAATCAACATAAAAATAAAAAAGCTTTTCAATCATTTTGATCAATATTCCCTAGCTTTCATTTGGAAGGTAATACTTCTCTGTATCCATATACTTAATGTAGTCATTCTAGCATCAACAACGCTTATTCACATGCATCCTCTATTATGAAGTCCTCCTTTCTTAGAATTGAAAAGTAATTTTAATAAATAGGCAGGCTTTTCTCTTATCAAAACAGAAAGGACAATATCTTCCATTTAAAAATACAGCAAAAATGCAACCTCTTTTTTTTGGGAGGGGGAGGGGGAAGGCAGAGGGAAAGAAAAAACTATCATTTCGAGGATGAGATGAGACATTATATGCCAAGTTTCAAATTGGAAGAGTACGTTTTTACTGTCGAGTTATAAACCTGTAAAAACGGGTTATAATGGAAATGCTGGCATAGGCTGCACTACTATGACACAACAGTGCATTACTAAATCACAAGTAATGGAAAAAAAAACCCCACCAACGTGTTGAAGAGAGTGCTATAGAAAGCGTATGTCCTGTAATTACAACCTAAGGAGAAAAGTCTTCCTGCCCCACTCTTGGGCAGAAAGGACTCTACATGTAGCAGAACTGCTCTCTTTGTGCTACACCTTATTAGAGGTAAAAAATCAGGAGATTATGCAGATAACCTTGCTGGAAATACATCCAGGCAGGAAGACATGTATTTGCATTGTGAAAGATATCCTCAGCCATAAGATATTTACCTTACAGCATCTTCCATTATCCAAAAAGATTAAACAATAGAAATGTGTGCCCATCATGTACAGCTGCAGACAATTCTGACGCGGAATATCTAAGCCATCAACAAATTTGGGAAATGAGAGTTCATTATGCCAGATGCCAAAGATTCACTGCCAACTCCCATCTCAGGTCTCCTACCCGTTTAACACACAGGCAAGAAGGTACTTTCAAAGGTGCCTGAAGTACCTAATTCCACAGGAGTAAAACAGCACACACAAATGGCTAATAAGTCTGTATTCAAAGTTGTTTGGTTGTTTTTTTTTTTAATTTTAATATAAACCTCTTTTCTGGTGAAAAAAAGATCTATGGGAATTTCATCATTAAACAAAAGCAAGGCTGGGCTGATAAAAATAATAATGAAAATAACAGTGAAAGAAAAGCAACTTAAAATAACTGGCTAAACATACAGAAAGAGGTATGAGATCTTTTCTACTGAGGTAAAACAGCATTTGCTAATGACTTATACGCTCAGTTGTGACATGACTGTAACACAAAGTGCATAAGTTGGGTTGACGCTCACCCCAGCATCACAGGGAACAATAATTCAGTAATGTGGGCTTCTCTGATGAAGCTGCCCCCATACCGCCAACTACCTGGTACTCACCTGGGCTTTTATGGTCTGTAAAAATGAATGTTTGCTTTTACAGAGCATCTTATCACTGTGGTAGCACAAGCAACAGATGATATTTAGAAATAATCATATTTATACACCTCCTGATGAGCTCTTCAGTATCTTATATGTTAGTCACACAAGCCATGTTTTGGTCTTTGCAACCTTAAATGAACATCTGCTTTTACAGAGCATCTTATCACTGTGGTAGCACAAGCAACAGATGATATTTAGAAATAATCATATTTATACACCTCCTTCAGTATCTCATACGTTAGTCACACAAGCCATGTTTTGGTCTTTGGCCAACTACCTGGTACTCACCTGGGCTTTTATGGTCTGTAAAATGCAACCTTTAGATTTTAATATTCAAAGTAAAGTGTTGGACTTAGTCAAGAGCTGGTAAAGAAACCAACTGCGTGTCCAGAAAAGAAAAAATTCTGATGAGCAGAAGCACAATATTACTTATTTCTTTCCTAGAAAGGAAGGAGAATCAGGGCCAGGAGAGGAACTGGTCATTTTCTGAAAAGAGAAAGGAACATTGTTTATAGAGATATTTCTCCTCCAGACACAGGACTCTGTGGACCTCCACGTTTTGTTCTAATCTAAATGGCTGCTCAATGAATTCAATCATGTCCTTGCTCATGACATCCTCTAACCTAGTCTTCTCTTGTCTTCACCTAATAACCACCATAAGATCCTCCCAAACCTAGTCACTCTCTGCTTCCCATCCCCCAAATCCCTCCACCTCCATCCTTTGCAGACACTATAGCCCTGGATTTATTCCCAGAAACGCTATCTTGCAATTATGCTTCCAGCTTCTACAAATCACAGCACTACACGGTTAATAAATGCATTAAACACTGCAGTGGTATCTCACCAGGAGTCAGTACACACGTTATTTATGCCTTGTCATCCAGCAGTATTTTCATATATCTAGTACAGCATGCGTATCTGTGTTACTCACAGCAAGGAAAAGGTCTGACTGGGGATGGCTCCAGATGGAGGTAAGCTTTAATTTGGAGGAGGGGAGGAAAAGAGAAGCACGTAAAGGGAAATAAATGCATTTGACCTGAATGCAAACAGGCACAGAGCGAGCATCCCACCTCAGAAACCAGTCCCTTGCTGTTAGCTACACACTTTGGGCCTCGTGTGCTTTATGAAACATATTGCTTAGACATTACAGTGAGAGACAACAGAAGTATCATTACGATAGATATCTGTTATGTGGGTTGTTTTTTCAGCTAATTTTAATGAGTGCCTTTGTCCTCTCCTGAGATGCCTGGTTAGTTATGCTCATATTAACAAGCCTTTCTGAAGAAGAGG